ATACATACGTGCCGAATAGATAAAACTTGCGATTTTGGATTAAATAGCAATGCTCTCCTTGCTGAATAAGTCAAGCGAGAATTTGTGTATGCAATAATTTCGCAAAAATCATTTTGAACCTAACGATAAAACTATATTTCATTGTGTCTATTTATTATTAAATTATTGTCAATTTATCTTAAATGTATTTAGCTGGATTAGGCTAAATTAAATTGCGCTTGTTATAATAAGGTTAGGTAAGTTTTCTAAGGTTCATTTAGTACAAATGAGTTCTTGCTAATCGACCAATTTTACCTAATCGGCACGACACACACACACACACACACACACACACACACACACACACACACACACACACACACACACACACACACACACACACACACACACACACACACACACACGAGCGCGCGCGCCGGACACAGAGTACAGCTTGAGCGGAGGGAAGCTTCATTTATTTATAAGATTGGAAAAGGACCTGGGGTGAACATAACACCAAGCATATCACCAGAATTGCATATAAACCCGTATAATGTGTGCGGCATATGTAATATGCCGCACACATTACACGGGTTTATATGCAATTATATATAAGCGTTCTCAATAATTTAGGTGCTTGACTGAATCTGTATAGCCACTGAAAATTCTCTGTACATTGTCAAGGTCTGCAATTTCGACTGCCTTACAAGAGGCTATTTTAAAGTACAATTACATTTCAGCCTAGAGAGAGCAAGTGGTTTGAAGAGTAGTATCATTGACTCGGCGCTTCTTGCTATGAAGGTGCTAATTATCCAGTCTAGCATTTTCCTTGCAGATGTGATAGTGACACTAGTGATCCTTGAAGGTGAGATCTTCCGATATTATCACTCGTGTGTCTCCCATTAGTCTTTTACTTCATCAAGTGATTCAGGCTTGTTTTATACTCTCTTCCAGTCTTCTAGCTGCCTGGTGTAGCAGTTGTGCTGCCTGGTGCAGCAGTTGTGCTGCCTGGTGCAGCAGTTGTGCTGCCTGGTGTAGCAGTTGTGCTGCCTGGTGCAGCAGTTGTGCTGCCTGGTGCAGCAGTTGTGCTGCCTGGTGTAGCAGTTGTGCTGCCTGGTGCAGCAGTTGTGCTGCCTGGTGCAGCAGTTGTGCTGCCTGGTGTAGCAGTTGTACTGCCTGGTGCAGCAGTTGTGCTGCTTGGTGTAGCAGTTGTGCTGCCTGGTGCAGCAGTTGTGCTGCCTGGTGCAGCAGTTGTGCTGCCTGGTGTAGCAGTTGTGCTGCCTGGTGCAGCAGTTGTGCTGCCTGGTGCAGCAGTTGTGCTGCCTGGTGCAGCAGTTGTGCTGCCTGGTGTAGCAGTTGTACTGCCTGGTGCAGCAGTTGTGCTGCTTGGTGTAGCAGTTGTGCTGCCTGGTGCAGCAGTTGTGCTGCCTGGTGCAGCAGTTGTGCTGCCTGGTGTAGCAGATTGTGCTGCCTGGTGCAGCAGTTGTGCTGCCTGTGCAGCAGTTGTGCTGCCTGGTGCAGCAGTTGTGCTGCCTGGTGCAGCAGTTGTGCTGCCTGGTGCAGCAGTTGTGTTGCCAGGTGCAGCAGTTGTGCTGCCTGGTGCAGCAGTTGTGTTGCCTGGTGCAGCAGTTGTGTTGCCTGGTGCAGCAGTTGTACTGCCTGGTGCAGCAGTTGTGTTGCCTGGTGCAGCAGTTGTGTTGCCTGGTGCAGCAGTTGTGTTGCCTGGTGTAGCAGTTGTGCTGCCCGGTGCAGCAGTTGTGCTGCCCGGTGCAGCAGTTGTGCTGCCTGGTGCAGCAGTTGTGCTGCCTGGTGCAGCAGTTGTGTTGCCTGGTGCAGCAGTTGTGTTGCCTGGTGCAGCAGTTGTGCTGCCTGGTGTAGCAGTTGTGCTGCCTGGTGCAGCAGTTGTGTTGCCTGGTGCAGCAGTTGTGTTGCCTGGTGCAGCAGTTGTGTTGCCTGGTGCAGCAGTTGTGCTGCCTGGTGCAGCAGTTGTGCTGCCTGGTGCAGCAATTGTGTTGCCTGGTGCAGCAGTTGTGTTGCCTGGTGCAGCAGTTGTGTTGCCTGGTGCAGCAGTTGTGTTGTCTGGTGCAGCAGTTGTGTTGCCTGGTGCAGCAGTTGTGTTGCCTGGTGCAGCAGTTGTGCTGCCTGGTGCAGCAGTTGTGTTGCCTGGTGCAGCAGTTGTGTTGCCTGGTGCAGCAGTTGTGTGTTGCCTGGTGCAGCAGTTGTGTTGCCTGGTGCAGCATTTGTGTTGCCTGGTGCAGCAGTTGTGTTGCCTGGTGCAGCAGTTGTGCTGCCTGGTGCAGCAGTTGTGTTGCCTGGTGCAGCAGTTGTGTTGCCTGGTGCACCAGTTGTGTTGCCTGGTGCACCAGTTGTGCTGCCTGGTGCAGCAGTTGTGTTGCCTGGTGCAGCAGTTGTGTTGCCTGGTGCAGCAGTTGTGCTGCCTGGTGCAGCAGTTGTGTTGCCTGGTGCAGCAGTTGTGTTGCCTGGTGCAGCAGTTGTGCTGCCTGGTGCAGCAGTTGTGTTGCCTGGTGCAGCAGTTGTGTTGCCTGGTGCAGTAGTTGTGTTGCCTGGTGCAGCGGTTGTGTTGCCTGGTGCAGCAGTTGTGTTGCCTTGTGCAGCAGTTGTGTTGCCTGGTGCAGCAGTTGTGTTGCCTGGTGCAGCAGTTGTGTTGCCTGGTGCAGCAGTTGTGTTGCCTGGTGCAGCAGTTGTGTTGCCTGGTGCAGTTGTGCTGCCTGGTGCAGCAGTTGTGTTGCCTGGTGTAGCAGTTGTGCTGCCTGGTGCAGCAGTTGTGTTGCCTGGTGCAGCAGTTGTGTTGCCTGGTGCAGCAGTTGTGCTGCCTGGTGCAGCAGTTGTGTTGCCTGGTGCAGCAGTTGTGTTGCCTGGTGGAGCAGTTGTGCTGCCTGGTGCAGCAGTTGTGTTGCCTGGTGCAGCAGTTGTGTTGCCTGGTGCAGCAGTTGTGTTGCCTGGTGCAGCAGTTGTGTTGCCTGGTGCAGCAGTTGTGTTGCCTGGTGCAGTTGTGCTGCCTGGTGCAGCAGTTGTGTTGCCTGGTGTAGCAGTTGTGCTGCCTGGTGCAGTTGTGCTGCCTGGTGCAGCAGTTGTGTTGCCTGGTGCAGCAGTTGTGTTGCCTGGTGCAGCAGTTGTGTTGCCTGGTGCACCAGTTGTGCTGCCTGGTGCAGCAGTTGTGCTGCCTGGTGCAGCAGTTGTGTTGCCTGGTGCAGCAGTTGTGCTGCCTGGTGCAGCAGTTGTGCTGCCTGGTGCAGCAGTTGTGTTGCCTGGTGCAGCAGTTGTGTTGCCTGGTGCAGCAGTTGTGTTGCCTGGTGCAGCAGTTGTGTTGCCTGGTGCAGCAGTTGTGTTGTCTGGTGCAGCAGTTGTGCTGCCTGGTGCAGCAGATGTGTTGCCTGGTGCAGCAGTTGTGTTGCCTGGTGCAGCAGTTGTGCTGCCTGGTGCAGCAGTTGTGTTGCCTGGTGCAGCAGTTATGTTGCCTGGTGCAGCTTCTATATTACTGACATTAACAGTAAACAGCTGTCACCACCATGGATCAAATTATTGTACCTTGACCCTGCCTGGCACCCGTGTCTGACCCTTCCTGGCACCCTTGTCACCCTCCTCTGCCTGGCACCCGTGTCTGACCCTCCTCTGCCTGGCACCCTTGTCACCCTCCTCTGCCTGGCACCCTTGTCACCCTCCTCTGCCTGGCACCCGTGTCACTCATCCGCTCTCAGGCTGGCTAACTGGGTTACATCATTAAGAAGGTATACAGTAATTATAGAGCTGAACACTTCAAGGCTGAGGGACTGACCACCTTGTAACTACTTTTTTTTTTATTCGCCGGTATTCTCCCGGCCCGGGTCTTTTCCAAGTAGTGGTGACCCGCATTTGGCTCCCTATCTGGGGAGTGTCTCGAGACTTAAGTCTCCCATGGGAGGAGGTACAAGTACCCCCTCATCTTTGGGACCAACTGTCCCCAGGCCTAGCCACATTCCCCGCCCTCACGGGGCTCGTAGGGAGAAGCTAGGCCTCTGATCTGCCATCTGCACCGCCCTAAAAGGGCTCGTGGGGATGGCAGTCTTATGAGCTGCAGATGGTAGCAAGCTCAGGCAATCATGTGTATTGTAACTACTATACTTCAAATTTAATGGACTGATGACGTCGCGTTTACCTCGCCACTGCTTCTGCTGTCTCCATATTTAGCTCACCTCTGTATTTGACTGTGTTGGCGAAACGTTCCGGAAATTAAAATACTTTGAACACTCTACTAGAAGATGAACAAAATGGCACAGTACCATGACTGGAACAATGCGCAACTCGTACATAGGTTACCTGGAGGTTATTCCGGGGATCAACGCCCCCGCGGCCCGGTCCATGACCAGGCCTCCCGATGGATCAGAGCCTGATTAACTAGGCTGTTACTGCTGGCCGCACGCAGTCCAATGTACGAGCCACAGCCCGGCTGATCCGGCACTGACTTTAGGTATCTGTCCAGCTCTCTCTTGAAGGCAGCCAGGGGCTTATTGGCAATTCCCCTAATGCTTGATGGGAGGCTGTTGAACAGTTTTGGGCCCCGGACACTTATGGTGTTTTCCCTTAGTGTACCAATGGCGCCCCTACTTTTTATTGAGGGCATTTTGCATCGCCTGCCCAGTCTTTTACTTTCGTAGGGAGTGATTTCTGTGTGCAGATTTGGGACCATTCCTTCCAAGTGTAGATTATGATATATCTCTCCCTCCTGCGTTCCAACGAGTATAAGTCAAGAGAGAGAAACTTGTGACGTTTCGGTCCGACTTGAAAGGACCATGTAGGTCAGTCAGGGTATGATAGATATGTGGGCCAGTGGGCCACCAGCAGCAAGAGCCTGGTTAATCAGGCTAGCACCAGATGAGCCTGGCCCAGGGCCGGGCTGCGGGAGTAGGGAAAACGATGGAAGCCCATCTAAGGTATATCAAAGGTATGCCTAACTGTTGTACATGTCTCGTTCGTGTCACTCCGTTATCTCGTGTATTAAATTTTTTATTTCATGTTTGTAGTGTGGTGAAGGTAGCGACTTGAGTGTAGTGCAGTGACTGTAGCTAAGTGTTGTTGACATGTCGTCACTGCCTTGGTGAAGCAAGCAGTGAATGTGTTGGAAAAGCAGTGATGACCAGTGATCTGTGTGGTGTTGTGTGAGTCTGCCAGTGACCAGCAGTGCCGGGCGGCGTGTCATGCACGCCAGCGTCTTGGTGGTGGCATTGCAAGTAGCAAGAGGTGGGCGGCGGGGACTAGTGGGCGTGGGCGGCGGGTGGACGGGGGGCGGGACGATTATGGGGCGGGCGGGACGTGATGGTGTCGTGGCGAGTGTGTGGGTGGTGTAGCGGGGGAGGTCGCAGTAGGCGTGGTCAACACTACCGCTACGAGGTGGTCTACCGCCGTGACGACAGCCTTTACTCCGGCCCGGACTACCTTGAGAGTCTTCCCGGGGGCCGCGCCACCCTCAACACCACCCAGCACCACCCACACCACCCTCACCACCACTTCCAACAGTTCCACCCGCAGCACCACCGCCCACAACCGGCACAGCTAGACACCCTCACCCGCCAGAACCGTGTTAACCACCTGCTGACCGCCCTCCATCACGCCCATCCACCACGCCCCCACTACCGCAGCCCCTGGGTATCATCTGGTCATCTGGGCACCGCCCCCCCACCACCGCCTCGGGCAGCAGCACTCTCACAGTGGCGCTCCGCCCCCCTCCTGCCCCCGAATTACCGTGATCCCAGTGTCTCGTCGCGAGACCTGAGCAGAGACACGTCGCGAGACATCAGTCTGGCCTCGAGCAGCGCCCACAGCACCAAGCTGCTACTGCCCACCACCCTGGCCAACCGCCCCCCACCTCTGTTGACTACGGCAGGAACACCTTCACCGCGCAAACCACCTCATTCACCCAGGACACCACTATCACCTGGCCCACCTGGATATCCAGACACCTTCACCTTCTCACCACTACACAATTTATCCGTGGGTAAGTACAACCTGTACACTATCTTACCTGTGTTCCGTGGGTAAGTATAACCTGTACACTATCTTACCTGTGTTCCGTGGGTAAGTACAACCTGTACACTATCTTACCTGTGTTCCGTGGGTAAGTACAACCTGTACACTATCTTACCTGTGTTCCGTGGGTAAGTACAACCTGTACACTATCTTACCTGTGTTCCGTGGGTAAGTATAACCTGTGAAATTAAGACACATGTGCAACATCTGGGTATCTTTATTGTAAACGTCTACAATAAAGATACCCAGATGTTGCACATGTGTCTTAATTTCATCTTGTCGGTATTATATACCCTTCTTGCACAAGTATAACCTGTACACTATCTTACCTGTGTTCCGTGGGTAAGTATAACCTGTACACTGTCTTACCTGTGAAAAATGGTCTGGTGATACCGACAAGATGTGGACAAAGTCACTTACGCACAGTTCAGGACATTTATTAAAGGAAACGTTTCTTATAATAAATGTCGTGAGCTGTCCATAAGTGTAATTTTCCATAACCTAACTGTGCTCCCTGGGTAAGTATAATGTGTAAGTTAACTTACCGTAGTTTACCTTTGCAAAAGCATTTGACAAATGCGATCATGGCGTAATAGCCCATAAAATACGTGCTAAAGGAATAACTGGGAAAGTGGGGAGATGGATCTTCAACTTCCTAACAAATCGAACACAAAGAGTAGTGGTCAACAGAGTTAAATCGGAGGCTGCCATAGTGAAAAGCTCTGTTCCACAAGGCACAGTACTCGCCCCCATCTTATTCCTTATCCTCATATCAGATATAAACAGAGATATACACCACAGCACCGTATCATCCTTTGCGGATGATACTAGGATCTGCATGAGGCTGTCATCTGCTGAGGACGCGGTTAACCTCCAAGAAGATATAAACAAAGTTTTCCAGTGGGCAACGGTAAACAATATGATGTTCAATGAGGACAAATTCCAACTACTCCGTTATGGAAAACTGGAGGAGATAATAACTAGAACAGAGTATACTACTGACTCCGGCCATGCAATAGAGGGGAAAAAAATAATGAAAGGGACCTGGGAGTAGTAATGTCTGAGGATCTCACTTTCAAGGATCACAACAGTGCCACGATCGCACGTGCAAAGAAAATGATAGGATGGATAATGAGAACTTTCAAAACGAGAGATGCCAAGCCCATGATGATCCTTTTCAAATCACTTGTTCTCTCTAGGCTGGAATACTGCTGTACATTAACATCTCATTCAAAGCAGGTGAAATCGCAGATCTAGAGAGTGTACAGAGATCCTTTACTGCACGTATAAGTTCTGTCAAGCACCTTAACTACTGGGAACGCTTGGAAGCACTTGACTTGTACTCGTTGGAACGCAGGAGGGAGAGTTTATATCATAATCTACACTTGGAAAATCTTGGAAGGAATGGTCCCAAATCTGCACACAGAAATCACTCCCTACGAAAGTAAAAGACTGGGCAGGCGATGCAAAATGCCCTCAATAAAAAGTAGGGGCGCCATTGGTACACTAAGGGAAAACACCATAAGTGTCCGGGGCCCAAAACTGTTCAACAGCCTCCCATCAAGCATTAGGGGAATTGCCAATAAACCCCTGGCTGCCTTGAAGAGAGAGCTGGACAGATACCTAAAGTCAGTGCCGGATCAGCCGGGCTGTGGCTCGTACGTTGGACTGCGTGCGGCCAGCAGTAACAGCCTAGTTGATCAGGCCCTGATCCATCGGGAGGCCTAGTCATGGACCGGGCCGCGGGGGGGTTGATCCCCGGAATAACCTCCAGGTGGGGGAGCATGGCCTCCGCTGTCAGTGACACAGCAGACCACCTCCGCTGTCAGTGACACAGCAGACCACCTCCGCTGTCAGTGACACAGCAGACCACCTCAGCTGTCAGTGACAAAGCAGACCACCTCCGCTGTCAGTGACACAGCAGACCACCTCCGCTGTCAGTGACACAGCAGACCACCTCCGCTGTCAATGACACAGCAGACCACCTCCGCTGTCAGTGACACAGCAGACCACCTCCGCTGTCAGTGACACAGCAGACCACCGCTGTCAGTGACACAGCAGACCACCTCCGCTGTCTGACACAGCAGACCACATCCGCTGTCAGTGACACAGCAGACCACCTCCGCTGTCAGTGACAGCAGACCACCTCCGCTGTCAGTGACACAGCAGACCACCTCCGCTGTCAGTGACACAGCAGACCACCTCCGCTGTCAGTGACACAGCAGACCACCTCCGCTGTCAGTGACACAGCAGACCACCTCCGCTGTCAGTGACACAGCAGACCACCTCCGCTGTCAGTGACAAAGCAGACCACCTCCACTGTCAGTGACAAAGCAGACCACCTCCGCTGTCAGTGACAAAGCAGACCACCTCCGCTGTCAGTGACAGCAGACAACCTCCGCTGTCAGTGACACAGCAGACAATCTCCGCTGTCAGTGACACAGCAGACCACCTCCGCTGTCAGTGACACAGCAGACCACCTCCGGCTGTCAGTGACACAGCAGACCACCTCCGGCTGTCAGTGACACAGCAGACCACCTCCGCTGTCAGTGACACAGATCACTTCCGCTGTCAGTGACACAGCAGGCCACCTCCGCTGTCAGTGACACAGCAGACCACCTCCGCTGTCAGTGACACAGCAGGCCACCTCCGCTGTCAGTGACACAGCAGACCACCTCCGCTGTCAGTGACACAGCAGACCCTCCCTGTCAGGACAAGACACCTCCGGCTGTCAGTGACACAGCAGACCACCTCCACTGTCAGTGACACAGCAGACCACCTCCGCTGTCAGTGACACAGCAGACCACCTCCGGCTGTCAGTGACACAGCAGACCACCTCCGGCTGTCAGTGACACAGCAGACCACTTCCGGCTGTCAGTGACACAGACCACCTCCGGCTGTCAGTGACACAGCAGACCACCTCCACTGTCAGTGACACAGCAGACCACCTCCCGGGTGTCAGTGACACAGCAGACCACCTCCGGCTGTCAGTGACAGCAGACCACCTCCGGCTCTCAGTGACACAGCAGACCACCTCTGGCTGTCAGTGACACAGCAGACAACCTCCGGCTGTCAGTGACAGCAGACCACCTCTGGCTGCCAGTGACACAGCAGACCACCTCCGGCTGTCAGTGACAGCAGACCACCTCCGGCTCTCAGTGACACAGCAGACCACCTCTGGCTGTCAGTGACACAGCAGACCACCTCCGGCTGTCAGTGACAGCAGACCACCTCCGGCTCTCAGTGACACAGCAGACCACCTCGGCTGTCAGTGACAGCAGACCACCTCCGCTGTCAGTGACTCAGCAGACCACCTCCGGCTGTCAGTGACACAGCAGACCACCTCCGTTGTCAGTGACACAGCAGACCACCTTCGGCTGTCAGCGACACAGCAGACCACCTCCGCTGTCAATGACACGGCAGACCACCTCCGCTGTCAATGACACAGCAGACCACCTCCGCTGTCAGTGACACAGCAGACCACCTCCGCTGTCAGTGACACAGCAGACCACCTCCGGCTGTCAGTGACACAGCAGACCACCTCCGCTGTCAGTGACACAGCAGACCACCTCCGCTGTCAGTGACACAGCAGACCACCTCCGCTGTCAGTGACACAGCAGACCACCTCCGCTGTCAGTGACACAGCAGACCACCTCCGCTGTCAGTGACACAGCAGACCACCTCCGCTGTCAGTGACACAGCAGACCACCTCCGCTGTCAGTGACACAGCAGACCACCTCCGCTGTCAGTGACACAGCAGACCACCTCCGCTGTCAGTGACACAGCAGACCACCTCCGCTGTCAGTGACACAGCAGACCACCTCCGCTGTCAGTGACACAGCAGACCACCTCCGCTGTCAGTGACACAGCAGACCACCTCCGCTGTCAGTGACACAGCAGACGACCTCCGCTGTCAGTGACACAGCAGACCACCTCCGCTGTCAGTGACACAGCAGACCACCTCCGCTGTCAGTGACACAGCAGACCACCTCCGCTGTCAGTGACACAGCAGACCCTCCGCTGTCAGTGACCAGCAGACCATCCTGCTGTCAGTGACACAGCAGACCACCTCCGCTGTCAGTGACACAGCAGACCACCTCCGCTGTCAGTGACACAGCAGACCACCTCCGCTGTCAGTGACACAGCAGACCACCTCCGCTGTCAGTGACACAGCAGACCTCCGCTGTCAGTGACACAGCAGACCACCTCCGCTGTCAGTGACACAGCAGACCACCTCCGCTGTCAGTGACACAGCAGACCACCTCCGCTGTCAGTGACACAGCAGACCACCTCCGCTGTCAGTGACACAGCAGACCACCTCCGCTGTCAGTGACACAGCAGACCACCTCCGCTGTCAGTGACACAGCAGACCACCTCCGCTGTCAGTGACACAGCAGACCACCTCCGCTGTCAGTGACACAGCAGACCACCTCCGCTGTCAGTGACACAGCAGACCACCTCCGCTGTCAGTGACACAGCAGACCACCTCCGGCTGTCAGTGACACAGCAGACCACCTCCGCTGTCAGTGACACAGCAGACCACCTCCGCTGTCAGTGACACAGCAGACCACCTCCGGCTGTCAGTGACACAGCAGACCACCTCCGCTGTCAGTGACACAGCAGACCACCTCCGGCTGTCAGTGACACAGCAGACCACCTCCGCTGTCAGTGACACAGCAGACCACCTCCGCTGTCAGTGACACAGCGACCACCTCCGCTGTCAGTGACACAGCAGACCACCTCCGCTGTCAGTGACACAGCAGACCACCTCCGGCTGTCAGTGACACAGCAGACCACCTCCGCTGTCAGTGACACAGCAGACCACCTCCGCTGTCAGTGACACAGCAGACCACCTCCGCTGTCAGTGACACAGCAGACCATCTCCGCTGTCAGTGACACAGCAGACCACCTCCGCTGTCAGTGACACAGCAGACCACCTCCGCTGTCAGTGACACAGCAGACCACCTC